TTTTTGTTTTATAGACTTTAATCGTTCATGCAAAGAACGTTTATAGTTAGATTCTTCTATTGAGTGCGACCAAGCAAAGCTCAAAAATGAATCTGGGGCAAAATGAACTCAGCGCGCTGCCGGATAGCCGTACCGACAATTTTCTTTTTCCGTGTCATTTGTGTTTTCAAACATCATTTTGTAATGAGTTCTGTGTAAATAAAGCACTCTAGATTTCCACCCAAACATACATGTAAGCCCCATAGCTTTATCAAAATAATACTATAGGGTTATCTAATATTGCTTTGATTTCAAAATTTCATAGCTGACGCTTGCTGACAGCAGCTTCTTAAGATTGAGGTGAGACATGACGGCCTGACATCACTACGGGGATTATAAATAACGTTTGATTATACTGATTATTTAAAGGTCTAACTGAGGAAAAGAAAGATAACTTTGTAAAATTTTTCTAACCTTCCATACAAACTACTTCAGGCATCGGGAACGAAAGGAAAATTAAGGCCACAGCCACTGGAGAAAAATCCATTCGAATATTAGGGCAAAAATGCGCCGTTTGCAGCTAATAGTGTTGCCCGTACCACAAGCTCTTTGCAAACAATGAGTACGTGTTTGGGTTTCTTAATGAGTTGACCAGAAGCAATAGTCAGCTTTTGCTAAAAAAGGCAACTGTTTTAATTAAATTTTATTCCCGCACAAAAGAGGCATACAGCTGCAGAGTATTTTGACAAGTTATTTAATTCTTGAATAGACGTCAGTTCACTTGTTTTTTTTGTTTTATTACCCCATCGCAGATCGCGTGATATTCTCTGGAAGACTTCTTCCCTTTCCTGGTTGAAAATAGAAAATCCAGCGAGAATGACATTCTCCAATCTTCCACTTTCACACAATCTATAGTTTGGCAACAAAACATACCAGCGAATTTGCACTTGATGGAAACAGTGACCGGGTCTTAGTTCGAGGAGACACTTATAAATTTTCACCGCAGTCAAGCCCCATTTTAAAAAATTTAGTTATATCACCTGCGTTGATAATGCTTTAGAAACAAATCCCATCTTCTATACTTTTCGTAAGGCTTTTTCAATTTCTGGGGGCAGTGAAGTTTTTAACGGGTTAGTAATTACATTTACCTGTACTTTTTCAATAGATGGATTTCTTTACTTAAAATGCTTCATGCACATCCGAACAATAAACATTCCACCCCCATATTCATGCTTTGTAGAACCTACACCGACAATTATGATTTATAATAAAAACTGTTTTCTTCGGAATAGAGTAAATTGAGTTAACTCAGCTCCAGAAAACGCCACGTAATTTACAACCCAGCAACACCTAAACGCCTTATCCAAACTTGAACATTTAGGCATCAGTCAATTCCACCTGCGCCCAGGGGCTACTGTGGGGCATTTACCGCCTTGTCAGTCCCGTGGGTGGGGCATTTGCAAATTTTGCACTGCCCGGGGGCCAGGCATTTTGCCAACCCCAGGGCCATTCCCAAGCTTTTAACACGCACGCGGTTTGCCATCAGAATATAACTACACAGAAGGTTTTAATGACATATGAAATAAATCAGAAGGTTTTACTGGAAACAAAGACAGATGGGCTCTTCTGTCAAGGACAGGGATAAATTGAAGAGGGTTGGTAAATGCATGTTCTCGATTGTATGCATGCATTTGTTCATTGCTCATCAAGCCAGAATTACATCGCGAAATTGGAGCTATCGATGTTATTAAATCAACGTTTTTTGATTATTGAATCAAATTTCTGTTGATGTTATTTGAAGAACATCCTTTCATACTCATAAAACTATTCACAACATATAACTTTACAGCGCTCTGTTAATTTTAAATGTCAATAATTTTATATCAATACTAAAACCATAAACTGGTTAGAATTAGAATCCTGGCGCTATTACAAAGGAAGACGTTAATTGAAACAAAAAATCGCACATTAAAATGCTTAAAATGGCACTATTCGACTGGTAGCTGCGCGATCAATGAAAAATGTTACAGTGACAGTGACGGAGGACGGGGCATTTGCTCTCTTTTTTCGTCCCCACCCCGGAAGATTTGACAGCTCAAGAGTACCAAACCCGGGGAATTCGCCATCCAAGGCAAAAAAGATGGTAATGCCCGGGGGTCAGCCGGGGGGGGGGGGCTGGGCGCAGGTTGAATCACATTAATAACTTGTCATGATGAAAACAGTTCTATTCACCGCTATCGCTATCGATGTTGGAGGATTAGATAAATATGAGCGACAAGACCCAGCCCATTTGACCGCAAATAATGTTTTTATGATATTGCTAACGTAACTTAACTGATTCTGAAAGGTCTTTCCGTTAAAATTTGCTAAGATATATCTTTAATCTTTTTACTTTTAAGATTATACCACTTGCATAAAGTTTCGGACGGTTTTGATTTCCAAACAATAGTGTCCGAAAATGAAACTGAAGCTTTTTATACAGTGCAATATAAAACTTTCAAAGTCTTTGAGGTTCTTTCTTGGGCAAAGCCACACCAAGGGCAATATTTTTTTTTTTAATAACATTTATTTGGTTACAACACTTTTAATGACAATACTTACATTTACATGGAGGAAAAATAAAAACAAGGTACAAGAGATAAAGGAAAAATACGATGTTACAGCATTTGCAATTAATTAAGCCTAAAAAAATTTTACAAAATTGACTACTATTTGCAAAATTGCAAAATAAAACACGATACAACAAAAACATAAGAAGTCTGTCCTACCAATTAAAAGGTGATTTGCATTTGCATTTTTTTCCGCATCACTTTTAACTTATGGAACTTTTGGAATTATTTAATAACAGCAAGTTTATTTGTCCGAGTGGCAAAGTTTAAGAGGGCTCCATTTGTTTTTGAAGGAGGACATATTGTTATTATTAGAGGCAATCTCTTTTTCAATTTCCATGGAGTTCATAACGGTTTGTATATAAACCTGTAGCGCAGGGTTGCAGTTATTTCACTTACATGTGTAAATATATCGTTTGGCGATAAGGAAAAGGTGATGTAGTAATAAATCAGAGATATTATCAATTAGTCCAAGACAGATAAGAGGAGAGAAGGCAATGGATTTGTTTAAGGTGGTGTTTTGAGTTATCCATTGATAAATGTCTTTCCAGAATTTTTGAGTGTAACTGCAATACCAGAACAAGTGGGAAAGGGTTTCAGTAAATTCCCCGCAGAAAGAACAGGAGTCTGCTTGTTTTAGGCCGATTTTAAAGAGGAAGTCGTTTGTTGCTATTCGTCTGTGGAGGAACATGAATTGGAACACTCGTAACTTTGTTTCGGTTGTACACAGAAA